GTAGCTACTTTATTCTTCCACATTTGTGATTGAGCTCTTGAGATGGGTTAATAGCAACACCCCCACAGCCAGTGGGACTTGAGCGTCCTGTCTCAGAGTTAGGGACACTACCGCCACACCAGAGTCCTATCGAAGTGCACAATTCCCTCCCTAAAACCCTCTCTCTCTCTCTCTCTCTCTCCACCCACTTCTTTGAGAATCTCCTTAAACCCAACCTCCTGGTTACCCAGGCCTAAGTTGATGTTGATGTGACCTGGGGTCTTTCCCTGAGGCTCAGGACAGATCCATTGGGAAGTTTTGAAAAGGGAACCTGAGTTGTTGTTGACGTAAAATACCCCTGAATGCAGTGATGCATCATAGTGTGCAAGTTGCTTTCTTTCCTACGTGGTGCCTCTTCTGGCTTTGGACTGACCAAACGGAGACTATCCTAAACTCGGATACTAGATCAAACCTGTCAATTCTTTCTGAGGGTTACTGTCAGATCCACACACAACATCAGACTGGGCATTGAGTTTCGGAGTTGGGAGGGTCATGTTGCAGCTGTACAAGACATTGGTTAGGCCACTTTTGGAATACTGTGTTCAATTGTGGTCTCCCTGCTATAGAAAGGATGTTGTGAAACATGAAAGGGTTCAGAAAAGATCTACAAGGATGTTGCCGGGTTTGAGCTACAGGGAGAGGCTGGGGCTATTTTCCATGGAGCATCGGAGGCTGAAGGGGTGACCCTGTGGAGGTTTACAAAATCATGAGGGGCATGGATAGGGTGAGCAGGCAAGGTCTTTTCCCCCAAGGTAGGGGAGTCCGGGCATAGGTTTAAGATGAGAGGGGAAAGATTTAAAAGGACCTGAGGGGTAACTATTTCACACAGAGGGTGGTGCTTGTATGGAATGAGCTGCCAGAGGAAGTGGTGGAGGCTGGTACAATTACGCCATTTAAAAGGCATCTGGATGGGTACATGAGTAGGAAGGGTTTAGAGGGATATGGGCCAAATGCTGGCAAATGGGACTAGATTGAATTAGGATATCTGGGTCAGCATGGAACGGTTGGACCGAAGGGTCTGTTTCAGTGCTGCACAGCTCCATGACCCTATGGGTTTGGGTCAGGAGAGCAAATGGCCTGAACAAAGACAGCAGGGTCACCAGCAGGAGGTGGAACTGAGCCAAGCAGCATCTGAATGTTTTTATGAGGAAGATGATTCCAGAACTGAGATAGGCTCAAGATCCAACAACTAGGGGCTGTGCCCACTCTTAATAAGCAAGGGTGGGATTTTGGGGATATGGAGGGGGAGGGTGGGGCCTGTGCGAGGAAGAGGAGGTTAGAGAGAGATGGGTGGGGGGAGGAGGGGGAAGAATGGGGCGGGGGGCAAGGAATGAAGGTGGGAGGGTGAGTGACAGGGACCTAGAACATGGGAAGTGGAGTTGGGAGACAGGAGTCAAGACAGTGGGGAAGGCTGGGGAGGGACAAGGTTGAAAGTTTAATGACTGAAGTCAGGAATGATGCTGCATTGGAGTTGAGTATCTGTAAAGGATATTGCTGAGAGAGGGGCTGGCTCTTTCTAGCTGCTGTTTTATTTTCTCTTTTATAAATTTTCTTTTGCATGACAAACTCCTGTTCTTGTGTTAAAAGTACACTGACATACACAGTGAATGACCCCCCACCGCGATGCAAACTGCTAAAACACAAGACGCGGTCCATCAAGCCAGTTCTTGCTCTGGGGTTTGCCCTGTCCGCCAGCTGAGAGGATAACAGCACCCCGAAAGGAAAGTACACCCTACTCACCACTCTTCCCAACTCCTCCGGCCCCCAGCATCACTATCTTGTATTCCCGGATCCCAGTAGCTGCACTGGTCCCTGATCGCCCGGAAGCAGCTGCGTTTTCCATGGTCCAAGGTGATCGCGGATCACGTTCCCAACTGCAGAGAGAAACCTGGCTGTCACTCTCAAAATGTCATGGGGATCGGTGCTGGGAGTCACAAACAATTTACAAAAGACATCACAGACTTGGCTAAGTAAAGCAAATATTTAGCACCAAGTTTCTGAATGACACAACAACAGATTGGATGGCAAGTAGTGAGGGTGACACAGAGAAGGTAGAGGGGTATAGACAGGTCAGGTTCGTGGGGAATAAAAGGGCGGAAGGAATAGAATGTGGGGAAAATGTGACTTTATACACTTTGCCAGAGAAGCTGAATGTTATTTAAACCGAGAAAGACTGCAGAAAGCCACAGCACAGAGGGATTTGGGAATCCTGGTCCATGAATCACAAAAAAGGTAGCGTCCAAATTCGGCAAGTAAGAGGGAAGGAAAACGGAGAGGAATACAGGGAGGGGGTGTAGGGGGTGACAGAGATAGGGAGGGGG